TGGGACAGGCTTGGACGACGCAGCGAGAGCGCAGTTGTTGGCCTCGTCGAAAACGAGTCGATTCGGTACACAAAGCCGGTCAGGATTTCCTCGCGATAAATCAGTCAGTGTCGCAGGAAAGTTGGATCGACGCCAAACAACCAGCAGCTTGTGTTACTGGAGCGCACTCTGGCGTTTCTTGTTTCTCTTATTAGCGTAATAAGAAGAGACTTCCCACTAGGCACATACATATGTATATCCCTCTTGCGCTTCTCTTACGCGGCGTCGTAAGTGCGTACGCGTACGATTTGCTTGTTTGTTTTCACCCGGAGAATATGAAAACAAAAGGCAGCATACTTCTGTCCGGTATGCGATAAAGTACGGTAAACAATGTCGGCCATGACAGTTGGTACTACGGGGATCAAGATAAGAGTGAAATAAGTGTCGAGCAAAGGTACTGAAATTAGGAGAAAAAAAAAAGAAAGAAAGAAAGATTGCGGATTAAAGATTAAAAGTATAACACAGTGCAGAGAGGAGGACCAGTGAGGAAATCCCTGAATACGTCAGAGATAACTTGTAACGTTGCCAAATAGCCCGAGGCGTCGATTTTCAATTAACAAAATAACACTGCGTCCTATCGCGTCCGGCCATTAGACCCGGGATACCGAAGGAAGGCGGTTGGAAAATTCGCGTATAAAAATCACTCCGTTACCTTCCGTCGGCGCTAGGCGAATATCCCGCGACTGTCGACCAATCGCAGCCCACCCTCTATCGGAAAGTGAGGTTAGGCCAGATACTCGCAAAGCGTTGGGGGCTTGATAAATAGACAGCTATTTCGGATGGATCCAAGAAGTCAGTGGGCATCTGGTTCCCAATGAGTCGTCACGAAGGAACCGTGGCCCAGTTTACTTCTGTACCGAGATGTGTTTTGGTCGCCCAAAACTTGACGAGCTATCTGTATTACTTTATTATACGTAATTGAGGAAGTACGGAAATAGAATAGAAAAAAAAAAGCATACAATGATCCACCGTTCCTCCTAGGTCACTCGCGTAAGAGAGATACGTACGTAGCATACGGCCTCCGACGATCGGCACTGCGTGAGTCGTGCGAATCCGTTAGAGTCTAATAATCGTATTAGCCCCGCTGTATGGCGGCAGAAAGTTTTTCGCCTCTGAAATCTAAACAGAGGAGTCTATTTGCGTCTTCGGCCGTCTCCGGTTGGCAGCGAGGCGCGCTGTTCTCTTTGGAATTCGAGACGAGGCTGCGCGGGGCACGCGCGAGCTCCACTGCGCACGCGCGAGACGTCGCCGATGCGCGCGCAGCCCACGACAAAGATCCGGCCGCAGGTGGTCCGCGGGCTTTGGATTGCTAACTGCCACCCGGGTGCGCACGTGGTCCGCGCGTGAGTCGCACGGGGTTGTTGCACGAATTGAATTGACGACGCGCGAGAGAGCCGTTGTGTGTTTTTCCTCGTGGAGTCATATCTCTCTTGTTCTTCCATTTAATTAGCGAAGGCATTCTTGAAACGATTACTTTTTTTAATCCTCTCTTGTTTTCCTATGCTTTTCTTTCTTGCTTCTGCCTTTCCTTCTTTTGTCATTTTTTTGTTTTTTTTTTCTATTTTCCACCAAAGAACCACTCCTTTGTACGCTGAGCATTTACTGAAAGAATTTCACTCGGTTCTTACGTAGCCAAATTCAGCATTACCTTCCTGTGGCACCTAATGGCTCTCGATGCGTTAACATTGTGGACAAGCAGATAAGACAAAGAATCTCATGCGAACGATATACGAGCATATCAGTCCCGACTGCATACTCGATGCTTATACATTGTTGACGCGCGGCTATTTTCAGTACTGCCGACGTACTGCGTCTCTCGCATATTTGTACGCGCTTAGTCTGGATTTTCCAGAGTTCTCTATGGCGAGTGCAACAGGTGGTTTCCCTGGTTATTTTCAATTCTTTCTGTCGCCTTATCCACTTTCTCAGCTAATGATCGGCTAATCGATCTTGAAAAAATATTGTGCGTGTAGCGTGACCGCTTCGAAGCTTACACGTGGCAACAGGTGGTTTTCAAAAGATTCCTTGTGCGCAACCGCGGCTGGTATAGTAGATATCTTTCGCGTCTGATATGCGTATAGTTAAATATACGTGTGTACGTCAGTAAACCTAATAGGAACTATTCTCAACTACGTATGAGTTCCGATGTCAACGATACTGACTTTTGGCTTGAACATGTATATATATGAATACTTAGTAGAGTATGTGCTGATTAACTGCTACCGACTAAGAAGGCTTTGCACTGCTAAAGGCTAAGACGTACAGACAGTATCAGCAGCGATAGGAATCACGATTAATTAGGGAAATTTTAGTTGGATCAAAAATCAGCATTGCGATAAAAATAATATTTCTTGTTTTAGTTTTTAAATAATCTTTTTTTTCTCGCGCTACTATTCACACGCTGACATTTCGTCGCTTCTCATATTCTCCTATATGCGTGTGTTTATTTGAACATTTCGCAATGCGAGAGCTCATTACTCTGAAGAGCTGAATAGCTGATTCTCTCAAAGCATATATATATATACAATACACACAAAATCACAAACACATTTCGCATTTTGAAACACGTCTACTTGTTAAAAGAGTTCCTAGCATTTTTTTTCTTTTTTTAAACTAACGGGCATTCAAAAGTGGGAAAAGCAAAGCTGCATAAATTTCTAGCAAAGACAACGACTGATGCGACTGATATTTAAAACCGACTGATATTTAAAACCAAAAAAAAGGCGTGGCGCTTTTACCGATATTAAATTTCAAATAACGCGCGCAAAGGCGCTTCGAGTAAAAATGCAACTGCGCATGCGCGCTGCTATAACTTTCCCATATATTACTCTTTTCCTCTCTCTATGTATATATATATATATGTATATTTTCTTAATTAAAAAGGTAAGGAAGGTAAAAGTAAAAAAAATCCTTGAGACCCAATTTTATAGTCATTAGTACAGTAAAGGAAGAAGCTTTGCGGAAAACCGGTCTCAGGGTACCTTGTGGCCATTAATAAATCATCGTGGAGATTCGTCGAGGATCGGTAAGTATTGCGCAATCACCGGGGATACCGAATAAGGCATGGAAGGCCATGGAATATATGCGCGCCAATTTCAAAATCCTCGGACAAGCCAACCCGGTATAAGGATCTTCGATTATCGTTCTGCACTTTAATGAGGAAATACCGAGGACTATTTTAAATATTTGAATTTAATGACAGCGTGTAATTCCACGTACACGGTACGCATGTGGTAATAGGTGGGAGCGCTTCTCTTTAAAAATGCGAAAATAAAATTGTTATTATTCATGATAAAAAGAATACCTATGCAATTACTCAGCAAGCAATGATGATTATTTGATACATATACGCATGAGTTTGTACACGTGCTCTCTACCTATTTACCATTAAGTCACAAAGATAAATTATATTTATAACGCAAATTAATGTACGCAGCAGGTATACGTATATCGAAGCGCCGCTCTATTATGCGTATATATATTTATGCACGTGTACAGAAACAGGAAGAAACGTTCTGTTTATATCGTATAAATATATACATGGTGAAATTTGTATTTAAAGAAAAAGAAAGATTATACAATCACGCATCCGGTTACGAAAATAATTCAAAAACGATATCAGCGGTAAGAATTCAAATTTGAATATCAAAGATCCTATAAGCAGAACAAAACCTAATTCACACGGTCAGTATAACGTTACAACACGGTAAACAACTTTACGGCCATTTTTAATTACAATTCCCATTTGAAACGTAGCATGGGCTATTTTCTTGCGTAACCTTGCTCCAGTGTGAGCGCACCCAACCCAACCTTAAACTCAGCGAACCTAACCTGAAATGCAGACGAACGTTAAGCATCGGCGAACACGAAAAAAAAGTTATCCTCGAGCGTAATAGATGTTAACGAAAAACTGCTTCCAGTCCGCTGTTTATAATTAACGAAATTTTCAGCGGATTTTCCATTGTAAATTTGTGCAAGACGATCACGCAACTTCGCGCTCGTTCACACGTATCTATATGCACGTGTATATTTATATATGTAACGTCGAAATGGCTTTCACGGGCGCGCACGCGTCACGCTTATCCCATTTGGCATTACGCCAATTTGCCAATAGCCCGCGAGATTCGTTAAATCCGGCTGGAAATATCGCGTTACACAGTTACCGACGTTTCGTTACCCATTTCATGCTGATCTTAAATATTATATTGAAATTTACCTTTTTAAATCGACGACAAGACCCCTCCAGGCACTGCGTAAGGGAAACAGATTCTCTTCTGACGATTGGCTGTCGGCCATCTTGTTGGATTTCGTTAAAGATAATCAAAATAACCCTAAAGGTTCCATAACACACTTTATTTCCACCCTGGTCAGTGGCTTGCGCAACGATGCTTTTTCTAGCCTTCGCGACACGTTCGAGTCCAAGAAAGATAAAGGCTTGCTCACAAAGTCTACAATAATATACGAGCTAAGCAAAATACGTCTTCCAGCAGTCTACGCGTGAATATTGAAAATTTTCGTTCGAGCCTGTTATTGGCTGAGACGTGTAGCCCAGCGCCACTCTCGACCAAGTTTCAAGGTACTTACGCCAACGACTTTAGTCACGTGTTTCAATCCCGTAGTTGTGATACCTCGTACTGTTTAGAATACTGGCATTTGGTGTGTACGTGACTTTAAGCCGAAAGTCTCGCACTGGGCCCCGCTGTCTGGCAAAGCAGATTCAAGTCGCCTTCTCTAGTATCCGTGTCTACCTACGTTTACTAGCGAACACGTGCTTCGGTTAACCTCGGTTAACTTCGGTTAGCCTCGCTCTCGTGCGTTCATAATACGAATCCCATGCCTGTTGCGACGCTACGTTTACGTTTGAGTTTGAATATCCGTACTCACGCGTGCTTCATGAAAGTATATGGTACATATATCATCCACGTACACGAATATATATATATATATATTTACTGTTTACTCACATACATCGGTACGACTCTGCACCCTGGATACAGTCATCGCAGCACCTGTTTGCTCTCTGGTACAAAATTATACCACGAGCAACCAGCTAAGGATGACTTAGAAAACACTGATTGCAAGTACGTTACGGGATAGGAAACCAATAGATATTTACGTGACAGTATTTATCTCAGTGACGATAGCATTCTGATGTTTTAGGTTAGATTCTGCGAAAACAGTGACATTCTGGATCATTTTATGCGGTGTGTACTTATTTTTCTATTTTTTATCCGTATTTCCTGGATATAACTGGGTTTGAAATTGTTCGCTTTTGAGGTTACGTAGGCGTAACGTCGTTCTGTCAAATCAATCAGGGTATTCTTTGTGCTAACGCAACCGTAGGATCGTGATTAGTGTGTGTCTCTTAGCGTTGACTGTTTTCTTGACAGCTTTTCAAAACAGTCTGATAACTAGGCGCTGTGGAATGTCACCCAGAGGATGATGTTCCTATGCACGAACACGGTACGGATAGACAGCGTCGATTGTATATAAGCTATGGCGTTCCAATTGAGTGGGAGCTGCGAGGAATCTATGAAAAGCACAAAGGAAACAAAGGAAAGACTTGGGCCACCCAGGTATGATTTCGTTTTATTTACCTCAAGTCGAATTGTGCTCAAAAGTTTAAGAATGACGATATTTTATGATTTTCAATGTGATTAATTTCTTTACGCAATAGTCGACCGCGATTAAGGGTCGACGCCGCCTGACACGACGCCTTGCCGTTTATTTTTCACAAAGCGTGATTCACGCGTGCGGCGCCGACGCCACGTCGGCTGTTATCTTTTTGTGTCATTTCTCTTGCCACATCCGTGATCCTCACGGCTTACCGCCCTATGCGTATATCTTTTTTTGTCGTTCATTTTATATTCACGCCGTTTCTTCTGCGATCTTCACGACACCACAGTGATATCTGTAAGTCACACCGAGTCCGTTAATTATTGTCCATATTTCTTAAGACTTTCGATCTGTATTAAAAATTTTTGACTTGCGTTACTCGATTTCTTTTTTTTAGATTAATCCGTCAGCTGAATGATTCCTGATACGGTATTAACGTGGGTATTACGTAGGTATTAACGTGAACGCTGCGACGCCTTGCAGTCCGCTGAACACATTTTCTATAAGTCAAGAAGTTCGTTCTGCTAACTCAGGTATGTTAATTTAAACTTTAGTGTAATTATCTGTAAATCTAGAGGCAGAATGTTTTTTGAGTAAGCAGCCCCATAGACGCTCCTTAACCTTCCTGGGCTTCCCCTGAGACCGACCGGAAGTGGATCGATAAATGAAATATCCGCTCTGCGAATCCAAATGGCTGGTCAGACAATGTAAAAAGTTTGGCAAAATTTTTAGGACGACATTAAAATTACGAAAACTTGTTCCTATGCTAATAGAAGAGTCTCATATCAATTACAGCGTTTAATACTGACCATTGGCTATACACTCGTCGAGCACATGGACAACCAGGAAGAAATGTTATATAACAACGCAAAAACTATCTTGGCTACCTGGTGGTTAGGCATTCTTTTCTTATGGCGAGTTCGTAAGGTATCCCACAGCAAGCATTGTCTAGCTATGGGGTGTCCTATTTTATCAAAACTCAAATCCATCAATAGGATCAAGTACCTGACCTCATAAGATTATAGTTTGAGGATAGACAATGGTGTGCATTCAGTGTTCTATATTCGCACTAGAATCCATGGGGCGGTAGTACACAGACCATATATATAAAAGCCAAACCCTACACTGTATCCCATACATCTCTATACCTATGTAGATCTGTCTGTACACATTTAAATCCTATGGGGATGCTCAGTACACATCAGAGTGTGTTGCTAGGGCAATACAGTGACCCCCATAGACGCCATACCTATCTAGCAGAACGATTGGGGTCTTTCCAACCCCATACCACAGAATAAATATCGCCGTTCCCCTGCTACCTAAGAATTCCTAATTCCTCGGGGGGTTGGCAATGGGGATCCAAGAGCGAACCCCATGAGCATATCGATCGTCGTATACCCCCATAATGGCCAGAGGGAAATGCTTTAGTACAGTGCAGTACAAGATAGGCGGGGATCAGGGGAAGAGAGCCCCCCCCCATTACACGGCATCGACCCCCATGGAACATCCCTTTGTCTCCCATGGTGAATACTCGAAAAACTTTTACACTTTCTCCATAAACAGGGGGGGCGCCGCTGAGTTCGACAAAATCAACCCCATGAATTCCTTTCAGAGAAGTGCACAACCCACTCGCCCTTAAAACACCATAGGAGCGCCAAGTACATCTCCCACACCGCATCCACTGGTTCACGGTCAACGTGCGTGCGGCCCCTATGTGTCTGGGCGTCGGGACGCCCGGCGCCGCGTCTACGGCTCCCTCGTACCCGTCTCGCCGTCGTTCCTAACCTCGTAAATTCAGGAACGTAACGCGTTCAAAAACTTCACTGCGTATACACTATGCTCGAGTATTCTCAAGTGCAACTATCGGTTCCCATATTTATATATATATATTTTTTTTTCTTACTATACACTGTACCAACCTCGAGCAATTATTATTTGGTATATTGACGTGACTTTGAGTTTTTTTTTTATTTTTACTATTCTTGCAAAATATTATACTCGCTAATCTTTTATTAAAATTTTTAATAACGATCAAATGGATGATCGTCACTGCTTGTCTGTAGTTAGCCTGGCGGACGGGTCGTCCTGTTCGTCTCTACACGGTGTATCAGTATAACTGCATATATACGTAAATACATACACTCACGCATCAAGCAGATATACGTATATCTATTTAATTATATGGTAGAATTATCTTCAACAGTGTTGTGTCGCACAGTTAGTAACTTGGAGGATGAAACTTTCGTGGCTGTATCGAAAAGGACTTATAAGGGGTGTCTTTTTAGTTTCCGATCAATAATTATACACCAAAGATAACGTGCCTCGCGTATAAATCCAGACGACAGATCTTTTAACGGGTCGATGGACACATTTTACAGATGACAATCTAACGGGTGTCTCTTTTCTGTTTTACAATTAACGGTTAACCTGGACAAATATTTTTTATTTTCAATTTTTCTTACAATCCCACCTTAGCGCGCTCGGCGAGCTATGCGAAATTTAGTAAATTTATGTATTTTTTTTTTTCCATTCATTACCGTACGTTAAGGACACCCGGTATAGCATATGTATATATATATACCAGTGTCACAGCTACTTACGGCATAACTGTGTCGGCCGCCCAACTGGAGCCAACACGGCAATCATACGAAAGTAACACTTGAACGTGGCTTAACCTTATTTTAGCCATGTTTTACGCGTTCCCCGTGTATGCTCGGTCGGTAAAGAAGATCCGCGCACCACGAGACAGATTATTACTAAATCTTTCCGTACCCCCGTCTAGCCCATATACTTTTTAAGTACAAGTACCATATACCTACGTTACCAAGGCTTCCAAATCGTAAAATGGCGCTAACCTAAAAGCCTTCCGCTACTGTGGAGCCACCTTAATGGCTTTCGGAGAGCCAAACGGATCCTTATCATATTCCAGAGAATTTTCTTTCTAACCTCACCTGCATAGTTCATGCTTCTCGTTCTGGACTATTGCCTGATAGTGCTTTCTACCGGTGCCTACGTAAAACGTGACGCTATTTGAAACGGCCCTCGGATCAACGAGGAAAATTTCGTTGTTAGTAATTTAATTTATTATTATTATTAATATTTATCCCCAATACATTTCAGCTCCAACGCTATTTTTTTGGACGATCAAATTTTTTTTAGTATATAAAATTTTTTTTTTTTATAAAACGTATTAATACCCCTCATTGAGATTTTCGGGGGAAAAAGTTTTCCCGGTTAAGGATGTATTTTAAAAAAAAAAAAAAAAAAAAACGTCTCGCCACTTCTTCGCTTTATTAAATGTAATCTAATAAAGCACTGAGCCCCAGCTGGTTATATCCCAGTGGAATTTATAATATAGCAGCAATTTCTATATAAGCGTTCCCGCATGGCGGACCGTAAGTGTCCGGAATCCCATGATGGGCCCCAGTGTCAATCCTGGCTTTAATCTTCACGACGAGGTTCTCGTTCGTTATGTATTGTCAGATAAAGATCGGTACCATAATACTTTATAAATAGTGGTATTACGAGTCCACGCTAATAATATCATTACGTGTCATTATGTTTTCTCGGATCCGTGCAGAGAAACAGGTTCCCATGATCGATTGTGTTTTCAACGACGATAGGATCGCCGGTTGCGTTCATTGATTTCATCATTGGGTCGTATATATATATATATATATCATTGGGTCGTATATATGTATATACGCGTTTTTGTATACGTACGTAGCGTGGCAAGAGCTTTTTGCAACATCAAAGAAAAGCCGCCGTTCGCGCTGACGCGATCGATGATAATTCCTAATGACATTCATGAAATGCACACAGTGGATTCTGCATATTACGTGGGGTATGTAGAAAAAAATTTTTTTTCCCAAAATTTTTACCACCACTCAAAAGCACCCTCTTCGCTGTACGTCTGATCGACTGGTTCCCTGGTGTCATAAAACTAATGTCACTAATTTCGTCCCCAACTGTAATCATGGCTATATCCTCCGCACGTATAATTTGTCGGATTCCATTTAGAAAATCAAAATTGCATCCCCTTACGTAACGGTGTTATCTTTAACGGTCGATATATATATATATATAGTAAGGATGAGAATGGCCAGTAATAAAATCACAAAGTATCTTGGACCAGCGGCTTTCTTTCCCCTCCCTCCTCTTATCACCCCCCCTCACTTTTCTGATTAGGGGGTGGGGGCAACGGGGACTCCCGAACGAAACGGCTCAAGTTAGCCTTGACATTCGCCTCCCACATCCTGCCCCGGCAACAGTGTATCTCAACCGGCTTTATCTTTCTTTTTCGTTCCTGTTTTTTTCCCCCATTTTGACAGGCAATAACTTCTGTCACTTGCGCGCACGTGCTCATTGATAGTCTGCAGTATCCTTTGAGACGTCGGTGACGGGTACCACGGGTGGTAAAAAAAAATATATATATCCACGTCAATAAGAAATTTTGATAATGATTAATGTATGACGCTGTAATTTTGGAAAATAGTCAATTACAAAAATTTTAATTTTTTTTTTTTATACATTTCGCGAGAACGAAGCATATCGAGAGTTGGTTGGTGGATTATTTGAAAAAAAAAAAAAATTCTAAAATAAGCAATTTCCAAG